ATAGGTATAGAATACACGAGGCTTGCCATGGGGTTGTTGGCCCCTTTTCTGAGGCTGCCCCACCTCCAGATTCCCAGAAACAGAATTGGGGTTTGCTCCAGATAGCTTGGGATGCCTATGAAGCTCCCTGAATGCCCAGGACAGAATGTGGAGTCTTGCTCATATATCTGGGAGGGAAATCGATCAACCCAAATGGAAAGGGGAAAATATTTGGCTGGAACTGACGCGGTATCGCTTCCATGGGCATGGCCGTGGCCGTGGGGCTGGTGCCAGGGAGATCAATCCAATCCCATTACTTCTTGCAGGGACTTGGAGGTGCAAAATGTACAATGGAAAGGCAGGGCAGTTTTGCTTTTGTTCTTTTAAACAAATGGCTAAACCCACCACAGTGCTGAGACTTTGTTTAAACTGCGTTGCGAATCAGGCTGTGGAATCGTGGAACCAGCCCCAGCCCCTAAGTGGGGTCATTTCAAAGGTTTATCTTCCAGCGCTTGATGAGTTTCTTTGCTAAATGGACCGGGGCCTTTTTCCTCCAAGGCTCCAAACACTGTTCACAGTCCCTTTCCTCTAGTTTATCCACAACAGCCCAGTAGGGTAGGGTAGGCGGCGAGTCTGTGGCTGGGAGTAGGCATCCTGTCCCACCGAAGTTTCCATCTGGGATTTTGTGCATAGGAAGCGGGGACTGAACCCAACTGGCCTGCAGCCCGCCTCCCACTGGCTTTCCCTCCTGTGCCCCTCAGTCCATCTCCACAGCTGCATTTTCACCCACTCTGGAACGGGGTCCAAGCAAGGGCAGTGGCCCATTGCTGCCTGTGAGCATGGAGACTGGAGGGGTTGCAGATGCTGAGAGAGCTTGCCAAGTTTCTCTTGAGCTTCTCTGTTAGTTTCTCTCTGCCCCATCAGCCACATTTACGGACACCCTGCTTTGCGTCCCAGGAGAAACGCCAAGCAGCACACGAATGTTTTCCAGGCGATTTCCATTCCACGTGCTGGCCAGACTGGGACTGCTTAGCTGTGGCAAGGCATATGCTCCCTGGCCATTCTGGACCACGGCTCCAGACCATGTGCCTACGTGTAAAGGACGTCGGGGTCCATGCTTGCGGTCTCCAAGTGGAGCTGGGAAATGCTGACCTTAAGCTCCAAAGAGCAGATCTTAATGCAGAAGGCAAAGCTGAGCTCGACGGACAAACAGCCTGGTGCAGTAGGAACAGAAGAGTAGATTAGGAAGGGGGCCAGAAGGCCATTGGGTCCAATCCCCCACTATTACAGGACAGAGTTAAAGCATTCCAGTTCCTATTTGCCTTCTATTTGCAGTCATCATGGAAGCCGCAAGCTGGAATATTCCTGTCTGTCACATTATTCTACAGACATTTGCCTACTGGGCCATCCAGAAATTAAATAAATAAAGCACCCCAATGTGGTTTCGAATGTGACGTCGTTCCATTGTTCCGGACTGCGTTGTTAATAGATCCTTTGCGGGGGGGGGGGGCTGTAAATGCTGGTCCCAGATGCAGTAAACAAAATGCAATAAAGGATTTTAGAGCCATAGCGAGCCGTATTCACACGAACTCTCTCACGGGGTTGGGGTGAGGAAAAGCAGATAACCCTAAGCTAACAGAGCCCCTTAGAGAAAGGGTGGGAAAAGAAATATATGCCAAGGGCTGTTATCTCACACCACCGAGTCCAAGATGAACTGTTTCGGGTCAGCTCTACAGATGAGTTTTTTCCATACTAACACTCCAACTGAACCTTCAGGGGGGAAGGAGTGGGACATTTCATTTCTGGCTGATCCATCCCAAATGATGGATCATGCAGTCATGAGAATGGACTTCCCCAACAGCCATCCATTCCAAAGCTGCCGTCACCTCATTGTCCTTTGTTATGCAGAAAACCACCTAACATCATCCAGGTGTTGTACAAAAGGGGACGTGTACAAGCCCACAATCCAAAATAGGGCAGAGATAGCAGGAGGGGGTGCTTGTACAATAGGGAGGACAGACAGAATAGGAAGAAGAAAAATTCGATCTGTGTAGCACACAAAGGCTCACAGGGGATTAAGCCACAGCAAATGCTAGGTACACTTTGACTATTCACCCCTCATCCAGGGTTGCTGGGTTGTGTGAACCCAGCCATCGGGGTTTGTGCAAACGTTAATCAGCCCTTGCATAACCTTACAAACCAGGAGTTGTGTGCATGTTAACTATCCTGTGGACTCCCCCCTCAAAAAAATCACAAGGTTTGCAGGATGTGACGATCCTCTAACTGGGGTTTGCCTACTTGGAATCCTGGCTGGCATGTGCCACGGCTCATCAGAGGTTAAATAACTCATGGTGGGTCATTGTCTCAAGTGAGTACGCCCACATGCTACATCAGGAGGGGGAAATCAAGAGAAAAGGTTTTATAATAATTTCCTGCACAAACAAGGGCCAGAGAAACAAAGGAGTGTTGCATATAGTATTAGGGCCTGGAAGGATGGTTAGTGTTTGATTGATGCAGAGACAAAAAATGAAGAAAAGCCAATCAAAGAGAAGGGAAGAAATCATTCAGAGGCACGCAACTTGAAGCTGGTTTGAACTGAATGCAAACCAACAAAGGTCATTCTACCATTCTGACAAACCACGGACACAAGTTCAATAGCACAAAAAAGCAAGATCTACCCGACTTCTTTCAAAACAGAGAGGCGAATGTAGGGTAAGCAGAGTTGGTTTGAAATGTATTTCTGTTTGTAAGAGATGAGATACTTGAGACAAGTATGCATTTGAGATGGGCCAAGCTTCAGGACAGTTTCAATTTTGTACTCTCAAAGGTTTTATAATTAAGACGATGAAAACAGGAGATGGCCTATATAAGTTTGTGCCAAGGTGGTTCAGGGTTTGATTGCAGGACAGAAAATGCGACTTACAAGCTCTTTGAAGATAACAGATCTTTACGGGCAAACAGGCGGTCTGTCCAACTTGAGTTGCATACAAATAAAGAGCTATACATACAAACTGTATTTTTTCTTCTCGGTGCTGGCAGGAGCATCCCATGTTAAATTGCTGCTCTTTTCATGCTACAGAGACTCTCTCTATAAACAAAAGCACACACTTGGTCTTTTATTTTAGATCCTGCTTCAAAAGCAAGGAAGGAGATACAGCTGTAATCACCAAGACTGCAATTCGTGTTCTGGGAAAGGCAAAGTAAATAATAGGAAAGCATGTCCAACTCATGAAATGTCCCAAGTTTGATACGTACCTGTTCCAGGTAGGCCCATATGCTTCCTCTGTGGAAAAGAAGCTACTTGCAATGGTGCAGATGGTGCCTGAATCTGCTGTCATCATTCATGTACTAGGTTAGGAGGGCTCAAAGCTCCATACGTTTCACAGCCACCATCTTTTGTTCGAAGTCAACGAAGTGTGAAATTGTGTGCACACAAGGCTGTGTGTGGAATGCTTATGCCATGTAGTGCAAGGTGAAAGTACACACATTTCTGCAAAAGTGACCCTGCAATCTGCAAAAGCAACCGTGATCAGAAAAGCCGTGAGTGATTTGCACATCCAGAGGTGTGGGGAACAGAAAGGTGATCAAGAGACGTCGATGCACGCCATGGCCGGTGGACCTTGCTCTTGACAAAATCGTGTGCAATGTACATTTCATAGCCCTGGATGAAGATTGAGGGGGCTTTCCCAGATTTGTGTGTGTGTGTGTGTGTGTGTGTGTGGAGAGAGAGGGAGAGGGGGAGAGAGAGAGAGAGCGAGCCCTGTTGAATCAGACTAAGTGGCCTTCTACCTTCTAGTTTAGTATTTTGTTCACACCGTATCCTAAAAGGGGCACTGCCCACAAAATCCTAACTTCCCCAGCAACTGGCAAATTTCCCAAACAACACATTACATCAAGGAAACCATGTCTGCTTTTCCACTGGGTCTTTTCCTTGGGTTTTGTTCTTAGGGAAATGCGGCATTTTTTTTCAGCTTCAAATAGGTAAACACAAATGTCAAACTATTTTCTAATAAGATTCTAACATTACTTCAAAATGCAGTCCCAAAATGTGCGTGTTTTTAAGAGCAACCTAATAAAATAAAGCCGAGCTCTTAACAGTTAAAGAGTTTGTGATCAGGGATGGTTCTTTTGATATAAAAATGCTTCAACCCGGGAAGAAACGGTTCCCTGGTGCATTATCTGCATGTATTGTTCTTGTTAGATGGATTCATCTCGCTCTTTTTACTGAAATAAGACCCTTCCTGCCCACAAGCTTACAATCTCAAAGGCACGACAGAAAGGGGGAGTCAAAGTGGAGAGGAATTAAGCAAATTCAGGCATTTGGTGCTCAGTTGCAAAGTTCTGCAGAGCCTGGAGCCAAATCCCAGCACAAAGGGCTTTAAAAGCACGTAGCAACGATACCTGTTTGTTTGGCTCCCTCTGCATGGCAGCACTCTGCTTAGAGTTACACTGAGAAGTATAAAGGACTCACCTGTGACTGCAATGAGCAGGAATGTTCATTTAATTGTGACTCATTCTGTAAAAGTTTATCTTTTATCTTTGGCTCTTTGGTGCCTCAAGTGTGCGGTCTATGCCTCAGACGCCAAACATGACACCTGTGAATTGGCAAGACCCCAGAGGACAATCCACCTGTGATAAGCCAGGAGTACAGACCCTCCCCTCGGGACTGCAAGCCAACGTTGTTTACCTGGACTCTAGGAATCCTCAGGTGGCTGCAAGGTCATACCCCCTGCCCAGAACCTCCGCCAGAGCCCAACACCGACCTTTACAGTTCCTTGCTTGGTAAATGCTATAGACATCGGCTGAGTACAAGGATCCTAGTCTGAAAGAAACAAATGGCCTCATAAGCGAATAATGCAAGACGGAAGTCAGCCAACCCTGGTCTAAGACAGCCACTCGCTTTCACGGCAGCAGGGACCCTTCGTTCCTTCTGCAGACCCCCTGCTACCAAAAGTTTATCTTTCCCACTGCATCTTCCATTCCATCAATATCAAATGAAAACAACTCCTTCGTATCTCAGATTGGGATTTATAAACGGAATCATTTATTAGCTTCCAGCCCTCAACATCCACTCTTTCAGAAGGTGACTTTCTTCCCATCGCTAGAGAATCAAGAAAACTATTTAAAAGGTGAGCATCGAAAAGAGAGGAGAGAGGAGGGTTAGTGCTCCAGTGAGAAAAGAACAACAGTGCCATTGACAAAAAACAGGATTCAGTGACCACAACACAGGTGCCAATTTATCTGCCTAATGCGGTGTTAAGCCAGTGTGCCCAGACCCTGGTGTGTTATCTGAGCGAGAATAAAGACAGCTCATCTGAAACTTGTGGGAAAGTGAAGTTCCTTCAAAGCAATATTCCTATATTTTTTAAAAGATGTCCAAGGGTGCTAGCAACTGTATGCACCATTTTAGACCTTCGTGAAAAACCGCACCGCATGATACCAAAATACACGGGAAGCTGTGACTTTAGGATTTCTGATCAGCGATCCGCTGCAAGCAGAGTTTCATGTAGGAATCCTTGTTGCGTATCTCGATCACGGCATCCTTGACAAGTTCAATGAACATTTGAGGCCAGAGTTTCTGCAAGGATTCGTTTTTCAGATTGATGTCCGTTGCTTCCTTCACCAATCCTTGGATGTAGCTTTGGCAGAAGTTCTTCCTGTCCTTCATTTCCTGCACAAAAGAACCCTTGTTGAAGGCAAAAATAAGAAAGCAAATCTCTACAGAACAGCTAGGTTTAATTATAGAAATACCAGAGACCTGAAACAGAGAGAAAGGGAGATTGAAGATGACATGCTGGTCCCAGAGAATGAGATGCCAGAACAGGTAAGAGGATCTCTCGAGAGAGAGAGCCTTTGTCAGCGTGAGGCAACGCAGGTGTTCAAGTCCTACCAGCTCCTTAGGCAGAACAACAGATTAGCTAATTATCAGATATAACACAAGAGAGGATAGATTAAAAAGCAAAAATGTCTAACAGAAATTCAAAATATTGATTCAGATGAGCATCAATATCAAACTATGGTTTGGCTTGAGCTCATGCACAAACAGGAACGTTCAAGGTATTACTTTTACTCTCTTGCCTATTTCTTTATTATATTTATAGCCCACCTTTTTTCTTGTAAGGAACCCAGTTTATCAATGTGCTCATTTAGGACACAATCCTATGCATATTTAGGGGAGAAGGAAGAGCTGCAACTCTCAGCATGCCCTAAACAGCACTGTTTTTCCTCTTGTTTTCCATGAAAACAAACATACAATTGTCACAAATAAACTAATGCAGTGAAGAACTGACAGACAGCTTAAGGAACAGCGGGGAAAGTGACGAGAACAATTTGAAAACCTACCTGAAAAAGATCTGGGAAGGCCTGATATTTGCATCGGGCCATCTGCCACAGAGCGACAAACCCCTTCTCTGTCATCCAGGCCCAGCTCAGCCTCACCGGTGGAGGAGTGAAATTAAGATTTTCGCTTGCTTTTGCCTCACTTTGACATTCACTTACGCTGAACCAAATTTGCCATTTCAGTTCCCAGTTACCCTTCTGAAGGGCTCCATGAACCCCTTTTCTCTTTACCACCCTGCAAGAATTAGGTGCCACGAGCAAACTTGGCCACCAGTTTGAAGCACTGATTCCGGTACAGACAAGGTTTGACATTGTCACTCACTTATTCCGGCTCTCTGTGCTCCCTTCTTTAACCAGGGAACCGTTCCCTGACTGCTGAATACGAAGTTCGTTGGGCAGCCTTAAATGAGGGGCTCCGGCAAAAGCTTTCTGATGATTCAAGCTCACAATAACCTATTCTACCGTAAGAGTCACCCTATTCTAACCATGAGGCTATTGCGTATTATGAAGGCATTATGTATGTTATTTCTTATGTAATGTATTTATGTAGTATGCTATGTAAGACATAATGTAATAATGTATGTAATAATAACATTTCTTTAATGTTCCTATGCATAATTAATAATTAATATTTTAATTAACATTTTAATAGCAACATGTTTACTGAATGTAACTATGCATAATTAATTATTTAATAACGTTTTACTTAATACTTTTAATAGTAACGTGTTTACTGAATGTTACTATGTATAATTAATTAATGACAGCATTTCTGTACCCCTCAACAGCCAAACTGTTTGGGAAGTTCACAACAAATAAAATCATGAAACACAGCACGATGAACACAGTGTAACACTTTTAAAAGTGCACTATAACGCCAAAGTGCAAACCCATGCCAGCATAAAAAAACAGAAACACATCAACAGATTTCAAACAAAACAGAAGAAACTGAAAGACCAAATCTTTGTGCAAGGGAAGACCGCTTCCCCATTAGGTATTAACTTATCTTCTGTATTATATTAAGCCGTGTTTTGTGGCTGTCAGGAGCACTTGTTTCGACCCGAGAGATGTACAAGCGGCCAGCAAGCCAGGCCGTACAGCGTGCCCGAACGGGGAGGCGGGGGCGGGGGGTGCACTGTCGCACTATTGAGGCTTTCTTGTTCAATTACCCTAATCCCCTTTCATGAAGGATTTCCACAAAGCCCGATAACAAACTGCCCTCTGGAAGCTGCCGCGGTGTTAAACCCGACTGATTTACAGCACAGCTGAAAATAGGAGGTCGCCAGTTGCTCCTCCAAACCAGACAGAACTCCTTTTGACGGTTAGTACAAGCGGACAAATCCCTTCCAGCGGCTATGATCTAAAATATAGTTACTCTTGGGTGAGTATAATGTGCTACTCTCATTAGCGCACTAGCTGTCATGTTTGTGATAGTTTGCAGTTGACAAGCTGAGTTGGCAGCTACCTTGCCAGCTCTCGAAGGATGTACAATAAATCCACAGGTAAACATGGGACTTACCTTTCCTAACAACAGACAGCCTGCTATTCACCCGAGAGAGAAGGCTGCACCTGAAAGCAGTCTTCTGAGACGACAGAAATGGGAAATCCAGGTCCATTCTTTGCTTCCCTGCATGCCACTGGCTGCTTAAAATCTCTCTGCTATGCAGCTTCGCTTTTACTGTGCTGAGTGAGAATGCGACACACAGACACACAACAGCAGCACTGGAAGCAGGGTGAGCTGGCGCACATGTGAGCTGGGAAGCCCCCAGCTCAAATCCGATCTTGGCCTCAGGCCCCCTCGCAGCCTCAACGCCCGCCTGCAGTACATCCTCGCCGACCCGCGACACGATCGCGTTTGGGTTAGACTATCCCACCAGGCTACGCCATGTGAAGGCCTGCCTTTGATGACCACCTGAAAGCTATCTCCTTTTAGGACTGGGCAGCCAGACCAACTGACCAGATCAGGACCTACGTGGCCAGTTTTAAGGCAGTCATACTGGAATGCCTGCCCTGGAAGGCTCCCTTGGCATTGCTTTTTGGACACAGGTATCATCGATTCTTTTAAAAAATGTGAGATAGATTTTTATGCAATGTTCTAACCTACCAGCCGGCTTTCAGTGCTGTTTTACGCTGAGCTGCCTGTCTGAATGCCTTGAGGCTTGCTCCTGAGGAGCCCTTTAGGTCGGAGGTGGGCAGCTCTTCCAACTCGAGGGCCAAATCCATTCTCAAGGAAGCTTTGGGAGCCCACATTCCGCTGGTGGATGTGACCAAGGGCAGGAGAGGTGGGATGAAGTACCGGAACAGTTTTGCTTAAACCTGCCAGTAATTAACCCTTCAGAGAGACATTTCATGCTTTTAGAATGGGGGAGGAAACTACACAAAACCCAGGCAAGTACCAAGTGCTCAGTGGCTGGGCCAGGGGAAGGGCGTGTGGTCCGATAAGGAACCTCAGGAGACCAGCTTCAGCCCCTGGGCTGATGTTCCCCACCTTGGATGCAGACAACTGCAGTGTGAAACTGAGTTCAGAGAGCAGGACAACCCGCAAACAAGAACTGTAGGTTGTTGCTAACCATGGATGCTTGTTGAAATGCGGTTTTTCGTCTCGTCTGAACCGGCTGCACTAACAACCATGACTTGTAGGCCACAAGCAATGCATGAAGAGAAACTCTGGGCTGCTGTTGAGTTGCAAAGTACGTATTGTTCATCCACGGGCTGTCATCTCAGCTGGGTCCACCACCATAACCCATCTTTCAACAACAAGCTGTAGTTTAACTATAAGCCACATTCAACCCACATTCGAATTTTGAAGGCGGGGGATTGTGTTGTCTGAATCCATGCTTAGTCTCTCACTTACATCAAACCACTGAGATATTTTGCCAAGAGGGCAGAAAGTTCCTAAATAAGCCATGCTTTCATTAATTTTGCACTGAATCAAAGCAGGAACGAGCGGAAGTGGGGGAGCATGCCTTTATGGACTTCCAATGTGCTGCGTATCTCCACTTACAATAAATGTATGTGTCAACGTATGGATAATTTTAATAGTGCTACTGCCAGAATGTGAAGCAGGAGGCGTAAGTTCTGTTCCAGTCAAATCCTGAAATGAACTGTTTCAAGACGGAAGTCAACTCTGCTGTTTCAGGCAAAGGAAAATATGTAAGAAGCTGATTAAAAAGCAGATGAGCTACTGCAACAAAAACAAACCGCTGACTTTCCCTCATGGCGCCTCTTCTTTCAGGTCTCCTTACCTCCAGCTTTTCTGTCTGAGAGTCTCTTGTGGTGTAATTCAACGTTGACCGACTGGCATTTTCTCCTCCAAGCTTTCGACGGTCGTTGTCATCTTCGCTTGTACTCCCAAATTTCTTCCCCTTTGCTTCCAAAAGATAACACAGTTGTTTCTTCCTGAGGACAGGTGAGGAAAAGAAAGATTTACAAGCCTAAGAAACTGCAGATCCTTACTGACGACTACAAACACAGGTTTTTGTTTGTGCGTGTCAATTTTAATTTACGAGTTTTCAGTTTTATTGTGTATCCTGTCGCTGCAACCATTTTCAACACATGTTTGGCAGATGTTCTAAATTAGTCTCCAGAATGAGAAAGGGGATGGGGGAGAACCTAAATACCCAAAAAGAAAGAACTGACATTTTTAAAATAAGAAGAATTGCATTTCTCTACTCAGTGTAGAAGAGCTATGCTGGCTGGAGGATATTGGCAGCTGCAGCCCAACACACCAGCAGGGCACCAGGGTGGGGAAGGCTGTATCGGACCTGACTGGCAGTCCCGAAGGTGGTCGAGTGACTCCGCCAGGCTTGTGCCTCAGGGCTGGGCTGTGACGATTTGGGCTAAAGCCCGACTTGCCACTGCAGGGGGCTATACAGGTCAGTCTTTGGCATCAAAACCTTCTGGGTCAGAGTCACCCAGGAAACACACCCACTGTTTTGAATTGCTTCAGTACTTCATGGCTTAATGTCTGTTTTACTTTTTGTTGTTGCTGCACTAATGGCCACTGGCTGGCAAGTAAATGATGGAGGAGAGGGGAGGGGAGACTGGGACAGACAGACAGACAGGTAGAGGCCATCCTGAAGGGTCTTCCCAGCCCTGTTGCTAAAGATCCACTGTTCGCTCCCCTCCTCCTGTAAAACCCACACCAAAGTCCCTTAGCACACATGAACCAGACAGGAAAGCAGGCTCACTGGAGAGCTCTGTGGACCCCTCACAGAATACCAGCAGCTTTCTTACCAGCACCTTTGCCTTCAAATGACACCGACAAAGCACGCTTCCTCACACCTGCATCTTTTTACCTGCAGTCCCCGAGCAAGGCGAGCAAGCGGCAGTAGGGCATGTCGGATGATGCGACACAAGCCAGGACGCCGAACAGTCTTTCTGCCATGACCATGTCATTCTGGGTCACCTGCAAAGGTGGAGAGACGCAAGGAGGCACGCTGGGGCTAAGTCACGCACTCGGAGGGCTGCTGATTTCAACGGGCAGCATCCGTCGGCATCCGGAGACTTTGCATTCCTCACTGTGGCTTGCAGGGGCCAGTGGGGGCCAGCGGACTTTTGCAGGGGCTACGATGGCACTTTTTGCAGCTGCCGCTGATTGAGCAGCTTCTGTGGGCAAGGAGCAGCTGGAAGCACCTGTGCGGCTCTCGGGACCGCTGCATCCCCACGACTCCACGGCAGCCTGGCGCATTTAGACAGTGGGACGCTGGCTCTGCCCTCTTTGCTGGCGCCTTCCCACTCATATAGTAAGCTCTACCAAAGGCCTTCTCCGTGGGTCACCAGCGGTTCGATGACTCAAGCTGCTGCCAGCTACCCGATCTGCGGCCACTTAGCAAAATATACACTGAGGATTCTCAAAGGAAATCAGTAGGACTTGTAAGGCGATTCTTCTGCCCGCCTCAGTTAAAGAACCATGGCTGTAGCATGCAAAGCGCTTTACAAATCAGTCTCCCAGCCAACATGGAAAACAGTCCATTATTATTTTCGTTGGTCTTATCGAGAACTAAAACAAAGAACGAGCGTGCAGTATCCAGCAGAGCACTTCTGCCTGCCAAGAAACTTTCTGTTGAGGCGAGAGAGATTTAGAGCTTCCAGGGCAACCCACAACAAGCAGGAACGCTCGTTTCTGGAGGAAGCTGGGTCAGGAGAGCTCGCATGAGCAAGTGTTTCTGCTCATGGGAGGGCTTTCTCGAGGAAGCTCTCCATCTCCCTTGTGTAAGCAGTGAGTCCTGCCTGCCCAAGAGACTCAGCAGGATCCACCCCTTTGCAGCAGGGAAACCGTGGGGGTGGAAGCACCCCACTGCATTCTGTGCATGAAAAGGTATACAATGCAAAACATTCATGCGGATTTGAGGAGGGAAGTTGTAAATCCTTTTGGATTTTCAAACATTCAAATTGCGTCACATTCCCAATGGGTCCTAGATAAATAAAAAAATGGTTTTGCTTGATACTACAAGATTGTTCTAAAATGTTCTCATAAAAATAATTTATGTTTGGTGAAGAAAAACGTCCATTCTGAGATAATATTAGAAATTTAATGGCGTGTTTTCCTTTATAAGTTCCTGAATTACTTAAGGGGAACTATTCCCTCTTCTTACTTTTCCTCCCTCTGGGAGGTTTTAGTTGAGTTTAGCGTTTGGGCCCCCTTGTCCTCCACTGCACAATTAATGTGTGCCAGAAAAGAAATGAAAAATAAGTTGTACATCTAGCGATATTTCATTATAAGCCCAGCTTGTAACGAATTATAAAATGATGGTGTCCAATTTTCAGTTGATTTAAGGGCTTCCTGTATAATCAATATTGCCAATTTAAAAGTACCAGACTTATCCAAAGATAGTGTTTAAAATAAAGAAGATAGTTTAATTTTTTTAAAAAAAAGCCCAAACCCCAACTTCCTATTAGACCGCTTCTCTTTTCTTCTCAGTTCCTGCTGACTCTAAGATTTCTCACTTCTCTTATCCCATGGCTTTATTTTCTCCTTTTTCCAGGCTACATTAGCAGATCCATCTACTGGCTAACTGGATCACCCACACAAATAACTCATGCAGCGCAGGAAGGGAAGAAGTCCCAGGACTCCTCCATGACAGCACGCCAGGATGAGGAGAACCCTGCTCACAAAAGTGTGCAGGACTCTCTGAAGTATCCTTAAATTGCCCTAGAGGTGCTGCAGATAACCCTCTTTTCTCAAGCCACTCATTTTGCAGGACTGACCCATCAGTATCAGGATCAGCAGAACCTATGCGCTGAAGCAATGCGAGCGTCGGTGTGAGCACCTTTTCAGTACCGCTGTGTCCTTACCTCTATTCCATTTATTTTCTGCAGACTGAAATGGCTCAGTCGAAAGAGCACGTAATACTTCCACAGGGTGAAGGTGACGACGGGATTGCCCTGCGCCTCGACGGTTAGCTGCTCAAGGCGGCGAAGGTGGGCTAAGGCGTTGAACTGCTGCAGCGTGACGAGGCTGGTCTCCTTGAACTTCAGGTGCTGGGCAGACAGGGAGGCAAGCCGAGTTAGACTTCTAGTGCAAGAGCCGGAGAGGTTTGGCTGGCGGGCAGCTTGGGGCGCTTCTGACCAGTGCGGCCGCGTGACCAGCTTTAACGCCTGGGCTCTGCGTCGAGGAAGCAAAACCAGCCGAAAGGGAAAGACCAGGGGGACGTGGGGTGAATGACTACGGCTTGGACAGGGCCACCGTCAAGGACTGGAAGGGGCAAGAATGTGCTGAGGCCCAGGGCAGGGCAGAAGAGCCCTCCGGCCCTGGTCCCAGTCCCAGGTATATCACCAAAAGCGTGGCCCATGCCAAGCTCAGAGAGTGGAGCCAGCGGGCTCCACTGGCTCTGCCATCTCCTTCTGAGCAGGGCGGCTCTTCTCGCCCACCCTGTGCCCTCCACAACCCAGACTACAACACATCTCACCCATGAACGTGGGTCATGCTTACTGGGCTCATGGGAATTGTCAACCCAAGCTCCTGGAGGGCATCTGGTCAAGAAAGCTGGCCTGGAGAAGCCCAAGGAGGTGGGCCCAAAAGGGCATGTGGAAAGATCCCTGGCCTCAGGGCCAGCCCTGATGTCGGGCGAATCAGGCGGCTGATCTGGGAGGTCACAGAACGGCAGCCAAGGGCTTCTTACTCAATCCCATAATGCTGCATGTTTTAATGTCAGGGGAGAGGGAGACTCAGGGAGCAGCCCCTTCAGTACGGCAGCCAAATAGTGGGGGAGGCAGCTGGCTGACTGCCACACTGGGCAACCCTTGAGTGGGACGGTGTGAACCGCAGCCTTGCAACAGCAGGGGGTTGGACCGACGTTCTTGAGGTCCCCTTCCGACCCGACTCTTCCGAGCCACCACTGCCCCTGCCAAAAAATAACGAGGAGAAAAATAACGCCAGGGCGGGGCCGGAGAACAGAATGCTTGCAAGCTGAACGGGACCCTTTCAGGGCTCTGCAGCCTCCGTGGGATGAGCTGTCTGCTGGATGCCACGCACTGCATAAAAGATTAAAGCAGGTAAGGCAGGTGACATCACATCTGCAAAACTGAACAAGCGGGACTCGTTTCCAGCGGATCCTGCACTAGCAGAGGGGGGAAAACATCCTCACACAATATTTATTTATTTATAAATAAATAAAATGTGTATGCTGTCTGTTACTTGCGTCTCTGGACGGCTTACAACATAAATCAGAATACAATAGATAAACTGACTATAGCTAATGCATGGCATTCTCTTGCTGTAGGGTGCGGCATCATTCATGGATTCTGAGGGGGTCCCAGGGCCCATCCACGGGGCACGTGGGAGGATGCCGACCAATGGCTAAATGGATTTCCATTTTTCAGTGAGTAATGCCCCCTGAATATCGGTTGCTGGAGAATCGAGAACTGCAGAGGGAGGTATTGCCTCCTGGCCTCCTTGTGGACTCGCAGACCGACCTTTGGTCTTAGGCCCTTACTTGAAGCAAGCCGGGCATCTGGTGATACAAACACGTCTTACCAGAGAATTGGGAAACTTGATCTTCAGCTTCGGCAGCACGGGGACGATTTCATCGAAGTCTATGAAAATGAAGGCGATCGTGGCGACGCTTCCAGCTGTGTGAATGCTCCAGTTCCGATCCAGGGATTCCAGCGCTCCGGCACCGTACAGATACAGAGTGTCACCATCTATTTCGACCAGGTGTGAGTCCAGGACAGACAGCCCTTGGGTGGCTTTGCTCAAAAGTGAATCGAGAGACCTGTGTGGAGACGGCAGAACCATTATCCAAAAGCAGGAATTTCTAGTGACCGGTTTGCTGCAGAAGTCCACATCAGACACACGAGCATGAGCGAAAAAGGCCGCCGGCCTATCAGTCACGGTTCTGGTGGTGGACGAGATGCCCTTCCAAAATACCTGTTACCTGAAAGGTATGGGGAGGTGCCACAGTGCACTAGAGGAGTACATACTTTATATGCAGACTGAGAGAAGTGTACTTTAATTGCCCTTCTGCTTTACAGAGGCTGCATTAGTGACGCTGCTTCCTTCCCTCATGACCCTGTTACATATTTTGCTCTTGCTCACTCTGCAGAAATAATTTTTCATCTCGTTTCCTCTGTCCAGCATTTGGGAGAGGGAGATATTATAAAGTACCTGATCCCATTTGTCTTCTGAGGACATATTGGCCAAGCCCTGCGTTTGCAAGAATCTAGCCTCCATGCCAATTTCTCTTTTACTGGCAACAGCATCCATTGGGCATATTTCTGGAATTGTGAAGGCGTCTAGGCACAACCCAGGGAATGTTCAAGATGCATTCAGTTTACTTTCCCTGGATTGTGCTGTACATATTTAAGCCTTCAGATTCCTCACGTACAGAAATTGGGTGGGGGGGGCGGGAACCCAGCAAAAACTGGAACAATGAAAGTGGAAAGGAACTTGATTGCTCTGAGTATTCTTGAGTAAGGCTGCTTCTTACAAACGGTAATATGCCATGAAAGATACAGTGCTAAGGGGATTGCACAGGGGAGGAAGGTGAAGCAAGGTTTGCGATTAAATTTACCTTTTGCTTGTTCAGTGAAGGCATCTCTTTGGAAGAGAAACACTGCAAGACTTTCCAAGCTGCCTGCACAGGCCTGAGATTTTAAGTGCCGAGAATTCAACCTGGCTGAATTCAAGCACCTGCTCCCCCCATTTGCATAGCTGTGCAAATGTCTCAGTCATTATGTTTATGTGTATCTCCCAGAATCCCCGAAATGCTGCAAATGATCCTGACAGATTTTTTTAAACTCTCTTAGAGGTGGCAGAACAGGACAAAGCAACTAGGATTCCAGTGCTCTGGTACTTAACCCGCCCCCATTAAAAAAAGCCCTATTAGCTCGGCCCCACCGAGGAGCTTCCTCAAGCTGTTTCCCCTCCCAATTTTTTCTTTTTTTTTAAAGAACTTTCAGAGAATTACACTGACTGCAGCAGTTAAAGGCTCCCAGAAGAAGCTGTAAAAAGTGGAAGATGTCGCTATCCCTCCGTTCTGGACTAGCTGCAGACTCAGAGGAACATTAAAAAGGTGAAGGGCATGGAGGGCTCTCACTTCAACATCTAAAATTGAGAGAATTTCATTGCTAACTGGGAGATACCTCCACACACCTTTCAGCACACCCACTTCTTCCAGTTTTCTATACTTCTGGTGCCCAGGCTGACCTCTCCTCTCCCTTTTTATTATTTTTCTCCTGGTCCTTTCAAAGGGTACACAAATTAGTTTCTGTGCCATCTCACCTTGTCAGTTTCCTTGTCTTTTCCCTACTCTACCTGGCTGTGCTATTTGACACCTGAAGCACATGAGGAACTGGACCAAGGCAGGAAGTGACCAGGAAAGTGGCTTGCGTGGGCTTCCGTGCACCTGTGCAAGACTGGCCAAAGGAAAACACAAACACATTTCCACAATCTTCAACGATCAAAACACTCATTGCAGAAAGAGGGACAAAGAGGCGAGGTCCCTTCAAGGGCATGTCAAGCACGGGTGGATGGCAATAACCGGCGGTCGCAACGGTGGGGCTGAGAAAAGCAGGAGAAAAAACATTTCAGCACACGAGGACGCTGCTCTCCTGGGTCCAGATGGTGCAACAGCACCCCAAGCTGCACCTCAAACCATGGGTTCAGGGTGCTTTGCTCAGGGAAAATAAGCTACAATGCAGTCTGGGTTTGCATATCGCAGCCCCCGGGGCAAACGGACTCTGGTGGGGGCTTGCGTCCCGCAAGCAAATTGTTTTGTTTCATTATATCCATGGTTTTTATTTCCAGAAGCAGGACGAAAGCTCAAAGATGTGAACACTCTGGAACAAGCCACACCCCAACCTAGGCCTCTTGATTTGGAAGGGAAAGGGAAACTCTCATGGCGATCCAAACACCCCCTGCTCCAGCACAGACTGCCTCTGATAGGACTGCTTGAGAGTAAATGGCCCTCTAAACAGCAGACCCGTTTACCAGAAAGAGGGAGAAATTTAAAAAGTTCATTGCCTGGAAAATACCCAGGATTGTTATAAACTTTGCAACCCTCCAACACAGTGAAGTATTGGGGTTGCTGTGTTTTAAAAACTCATTATTTTGCCACGTTATTTTTAGAGGAATAAAAGCAAAGTGATTCTTCCAACATCTTATTCTATAAAAGTAAATTAGAGCTTCCAGAAATAACGTGGAAACTTATTTTATACATTACTTTTTATTGTAGAAAGCTTGGCTAAAGAAACATGGTGTTCATGATCAGGAAATTACTAAGAATAAACTAGCTTCACAGCCCGTCCCAAAGTAAGTAAAGAAAACATTACACAAAGAACTTTGCTTTAACGGGATGGAGAGGGAAATGGCTCCATGTTATTCTAATGCAGAGTTCTCAGGGTAAGCAAAGGGACGAAGCTATTAACATTAATAAATGCTACTGCAGGATACCAAATTGATCAAAACAAACTTGGTACGCATGATTTATCCTTTTTGAAAGCAGCCTCCAGAGAAACTAACCGGGATACGTTGCCCAGTGTCTGTTAAAGGGTGTAAATGGATTGGATGGCTTCTCTTTGCAGGCTCCTTTTCCCTATGTGGAGACCCTGCTCCAGGGACCAGCAGGAATCATTTCCTGTGTGGAAAGGAACAGATGGGCGAGGGAGCGATGCCCTGCCGTGCCCTTCCTCTCTCCCTTGCCGACGCCGCTGCCGCCAGGGTGTCCTTCAGCTCGCTCTCTGGTTCCAGAGCTGGGCCAAGAGAAAGGGGCCTCAACGCCGCTGAACAGCCAAAGGGCCAAGTATCCCTGAACTGCTGCATTGTCATGGCCGGCCTGGAAGCATCTGGGGTTGGGGAGGGGCTTCCAGGGCAAAGGCTCTTCCTCACTCGCTCAGGAAGCTCCCGGCGTCTTGTACATGGGGAATGCAAGGTCTTCAGCTTTCCTTCTGCTGCTCTGCACAGGAAATCAAATCCTGGGTACAACCGGCAGCCAAGAGGGCATCAGAGGTGGACAGCGGGTCTGGCAATCATTGCAGGGCCCATCTTCAGTCATGGGGACCATCTTCCCCCACATGGATCCAGCGTGCCTCATGGGGGCGGCAGCTTTGGTGAGGACACACAGCCAGGCAATTGGTTCTGGCCAGGTCAGAACCCCTGTTAAATCCTGGGCGGGCAACTCGGAGGTTCCCCATGTTAGCCCAGAGCCAGCGGCTCTATCCAGCCCTACCCCCAGCCAGGGAAGGCAAGCTGCTCCCAGATCTGGCATTGCCTCTGGAAGCTCAAGCTGCCACAGGGGCAGCACAAATACAAACTGGCCGTGCTTTTCGTCTCGGTTGGGTTTGTGTAACACGCCTCTGATTGGATTACCTTCAAAAAGCCACCTGGACCAACTGCATGGAGCAATCGTGCCAGTTTTGAAACAGAGAGAGTCAGAAGGGGCCTCCCAGGTCATCTAGTCTGACCCGCAGCTCCAGCCGGCTCCACTCCTGACATGCCTACCAGGAGCGTGTCCAGCCTTCCTTGAACACCCTCACCGATGGGGCTTCAACAACCTCCCGTGGATGCCCATTCCATGCCGCAGGGGTCCTAACCATCGGGAAGGACTTCCTGGCATCCTCACTAAATCTTGGCTCCCGGAGCCTGGCTCCACTGGAACGCATCCTGCCCTCCTCTGCACGTCTTGACCTACCTCCGTGTGAAAGGATCGCTTCCCTTCCACACAAACCTGCCTGGCCCCAGGCGTTCCACCTGGGTGCACCTGCCACATACTCTTTGGATCGCCCTTCACTTTTCTGTTTGGTGGGCTTTTGTCGTAAACCACCCAGAGAGCTTCGGCAGAGGTCCTTTGCCATCCCTTCCCATAATACTAAGACTCAGGATCATTCTGAGACACGGTTAGCAGATTCAGGACAGACGCAATCCAGTTTCACAGGAAACACAGTCAACAGACATCGGTCTAGCACGAAGGGCAGGTATGGTCAGGTACCTCCATTCATTCATTCATTCATTCATTCATTCATTCATTCATTCATATTTGTATGCCGTCCTTTGCAAAAGCCTCAGGATAGCTCACACAAATAAAATACAAATATCTACCATAACATTAATTAATTAATGACTCATTCTGGCTGCAACGAAAATATGATGATAAAATTCAATATTAAAACCTATTAAAATATTGATTAAATAAAAAGGTCTTAACCTGGCACCGAAAAACATATAATGACAGCGCCAGGCGGACCTCTCTGGGGAGCGCATTCCATAGACGGGGCGCCACCACAGAGAAGGCCCTCCTCCGGGTGCTCACCCTCCTAACATCTTTCACAGAGGGCTCCCGGAGGAGGGCTTCTGCTGCCGATCTCGGGGCGGGAGGGCAAATAGGGAAGCAGGCGTTCCTTTAGTTATCCTGGTCCCAAGCCGTTTAGAGCTTTATAGGTAATAACCAGCACCTTGAATTGAGCCCAGACTTCGATGGGAAGCCAGTGGAGCAGATAGAGCACTGGGGTTATATGAGAATAACGCCCAGTCCCTGTCGGCATCCTGACAGCTCTGTTTTGCACCATATCCAGCCAGTGCCCAAAGGCAAAAGCCCTCTGGACTTGCATCAGCCCAGAGAGTAAACCATCAGCCCAAGAGTTCAACAGACATTTTGAAAAGACAACACCACCTCCCCACACACACACACACACACACAACCCAGCATATAGAAAGGATGTCAAGGGAGATTGGCTTTTTCTGCTGATAAACATTCCAGCTTTGCTAATTTCCCATTTTAGAATCCTCAAAGATGCATAGAAGGCATCATCACATACATATATACATTTCTGGTGTTAAAAATAAAAACAAGAAAACTTAAATTACAACCATTGGTTTTGGCAGGCAAAATCAAAGCTATGGGGGGGGGAGACCAATAATCCCAGAAATTATCTTATGAATCATCAGAGTAACAGTTAAATACTGTTTCTGCTAAAATAACACAGGTGCAGGCATCAGCCGGGAAGGCAGACGGTTCGGCTTGAGAGGCTGTTCAGAGAAGCCTCTGTTTACGAGAGCTATTCACGCACAAAGAATTAACAGCTTCATTCTGCTGGATGTGCATTATCCAGTTGTTTGTTTGATCTTCTTGAACTGCTTGTGTATTTTAAATAATGCTGTCATGTGGGGGAGGAAAAGAAAACTCTGCACAGGGTTTAAACACCAAAGGGAAACTAGTAGTTGAGAATTCTCTAGGGAGGATTATGTGAGTCTTTTAGTGATTAGGAAATGCTCATTTTTACCAGCAACTAAAACCACTATCAAGTATTTTTAAAGGCTAAATAATTCTGGAAGGGCCTTCTAAAAATGGAAGACGCTTACGCGAGTATTAGGGTGCGGATGAACAGGGGGAACCTGTGCTTGGTTGCTGCTGCTTAAACAGTAGGATTCAACGCTTTCAAACTGAAGACTTGCTTTCACCCCAAATGTAACAAGGCTTACGTTCATGTTTCAACTGCATGCGTTCATCTGCTTCTTCCCGCCATCTCTCTGTTTTTGTCTTTCTCCTTAAGCAAAGTTAAGCAGCACACAAAGAAGTCCTGAAGGGTTTGACTTAAGAGAATCTACCCACAACAGGGGCTCCCAAATACAGTGTGTGTGGGTGTGCGCGCGCACGCCATGACATACCAGTTGAAGGCCTACAGTTTACAGAGAGATTGTTCAGTGTGCTAAGAATTTTTTAGTCTTCACTCACCCAAACTACAATTCCTGGAGACCCTGGAAAGAGAGAACCAGCTTTTGCCTGCAGCATAAACATGCTCTCAGTTTTAGGCAAACTTTGCATATTCCTGGGTATTATCCTCAAAGCTGCTGTAAATATCGTGTTTCAGTGAGGTGGGATCGCACTGTCAATGGGCAATTTGATATGAAACAACTAAACTGTGTGTAGTGTGCACCGGCAGTGGATTGGATGGCACAGGTGGTTATCCCTGCAAAGGCAACCTGGCAAACATAATGGAAGGTCATTTGTCCACTTCCACAGAAGCAGCAGCTGATGAATTAAAATGGTTTCTTGAATAGAGGGCAGGCCCCCGAGTCAAACTCGCACAAAGCGCCTGCACCCATTTCTTTTGCAAGCCGTTCCCAGCAGCCCATTTGCTCTTTGCGCGTAGCAGGCTGTGCTCTGGACTGCGTGGGTAGATTTGGGTGGGTGGGTAGGTGGGGCGATGCAGGGGAACAGACCCCCTCCTCCCGCTCAGTGGCACAGCCCCTGCCTTGCAAGGCCCCTGCACCGATCGCTAGGAAAGCCTCTTGCTTCCGGAAACCCTGCTGCCAGCCAGTGTCCACAATACTGGGCTAGATGGCGAGCTCTGTGGCTCAGGAGAAGGCAATTTCTTGGGTGCCCAACCCTGCTCCAGCACCTGGACCCCCAACCTGCTAAGCGAAGGGAACAGTTCACTGACACGCCAGGAGGGGGCGACAGTCGTGCCATACCAAGGATGACACATACCTGGTTTCCTCCGGAAACAAGTAAGCGGCACTTCTGTTGTTCTGGCAGGATTCATTCTCCTTGTTGTTCTCTTGGCTAGAAGGCAGCAGGCCAAAACGGTTCTGCTGGTTCTCCCACTGGCGGGCAATATTGCTAATGGTTAAGCGTTTCTTCTCCTGAAATGAAATGCTCAGCATCAGTGCAACAGAGCCGGGGGCAGCACATGGAGGGAACACGAGCTTGCAGTTCGCGTCAGCTTTCATGCTCAAAAGAGCCCAGCCTGGTACCTTCAACAGCGTCTGCTTGTGGCTCTCCCGCCTCCTCTCTTCCTCTTTCCGTAGCGCGACCGATGCTATGCGCCTCTCTTCTTCCTAGGTGAGCAAAGCAGCAAAGCAACTTTACAGTGGGATGCGCAAGACGCAAGGAGCCCTGCCAGTCCATTAGAGGAAGAGTCCCGAAGAGACAGCACCATCCTACTGGTATGCAAAACTCAGAGGCTCGCACTGGTCGGAAGCGCCCTGAGTTGGATACAGTGAAGCCTTCCAGAAAGCTTTCGCCGCTGCCCAAGCTGGACAAATTGCATCCACCCCACTCGGGTGAAGCCGGCCCTGGTGGCACCCCTGGCAGCGGCCCAGCCGTGGACCACAGCCGGAGCTCCTTGCCTGCTCCGTTCCCCCAAGAAGGGGAAGTCTCAGAACAGGGGCAAGGATGCAAGACCCTAACTCTGTCCCTCCGGGCGCCGTGCTCTATTCTGCTGGGCTAAACTAAACGCCAGACGGAGCACCTCTTGCTTCCCCGTCCCCCTCATCCCCTCCTCACCCATCCCTGATTTTAGATTTTAAACCCCTTGCAGCACGAGCAGAAACGTGTCTGCTCTCTACTTTTTTGCAAAATGCCACTCACACCAGGAGCACTGGAAAGAGAATAAAAATAATCCCTACTGCAACTGGCGATTTTGTTGCTTAATAGGTGACAGGAGAGCACCCAACTCTTAGCCCTACAAAGCAGCTGGCTGCCTGTTTCTCCCTTTTCCGGAGAGGGTCCCATATGTCCAGCTGCCTCCCCTTTAATGCCTCCCTGCCCCAGCTCCACATGCAACCTGCAAGAGGCGGGGGGGGGGGGGGGAGCCTCACGACAACAGATCGGCCATGCTTGCGGCTCCATCTAGTGGGCGATGTGAATGGAAGGGCATCAGTACGGCTCGGATCAGAGGCACAGCCAGGCGGGAGAAGTCGCAGAGAAAGCATCGCTATTACTCCGGGGGTGTGGATTGGGCGAAGGCGGGGGGAAAATGAAACACATTCACACACCGCACTGTTCACAGAAACGCAGCTCGCTTGCCATCGCTGGTCCAAGGCCCAAGAGGTGCTCTCTTAAGCCTCAGCTTAAAACTCATGATGGCCATGGCTGAGATCCAAGCTGAGCTACTTCTGATGTGTCCAACAGGGCTTAGGAATTTCCCAGCAGTGTCACGAAGTGCTCCAAAAGATCTCTTACTTTCAAAGGCAGCACCCCACACTGTTACGATGCTCAAAATCGCGGAGAGAGCGCTTTGGCTATGGGGTGGTATAGAAACGAAATTTACCACCACCCCACCAAAGAGAGAAAAAAACCCCCTTCAAAATATAAAATCTGAAGTAACAATCCACAACAGCTGAGTCTTATAACACAAAGCTGCTTTAACGTGGTAGCTAATGGAAAACAAAGTTAGCAGCCTGGTTATTTCTGGAGAGGGAGTTAAGAAACATGGGGGCCCTGATTCTTCCTGCCACCTGGATTAACCTCTGAAGGAGGGGGGATCCCAAGAGGGGCTTCACAGGGTGATCTCAAAATGGGCACCTCAAAAACAAGTCCAAAGGCTCCTTGGCCAGGAAGGACTAGCTGATCCACCCTCTGCACTCCATGGCAATAAATACCGAGATGAGCTGCTACAGAAGAAGTGCTATAGATGTCATTAACAACTGCAATGCAAATTCTGATGAGATAGTGCCAGTTTTGGTTAAACAAACTCCTTGCTTATTTTATGGGTTTAATCCACGGCAAGCCACTCTTGCGAGGGTTTTCCTTACGGTGATTTTCTTCATATCTAGCTGTCGGAGCTGCATCATATGGTGGAGAACGGTAGGCTTGTACCATGTCTCTTGCGCTATGGGGTTGCCATCTAGGGTGATTTCTGAAATGGATGCAGAATCAGCAAGGCACACGATGTCATCGAATCTGAATAAAAAGCCAAAAGGAAAGGAACAGTCATGGATCTCGAACATACAAGCACTCATGGGCTTTTAATGGCTGTAAACCATCCAGAGAAGCATGCGGCTATTGTGGCGGTCTGGAAAAATATGGAATGAATAAATAATATAAAATAATTGATATGGGTGTCCTTACCTATTTACCTTACAAATAACCAGTAAGAACACAATTCCAATAGTAAATATAACCACTACTATTATACTCCACATCAGACGACGATATATTTTGGCAAGAGGTGGTACACTTTCTTCCCATATATCTGCAAAGGTTTCGTTCTCATGTTCCTCTCAAATGTAACAGGATGCAAAGTTTGTACACTCCCTCTAGACTTATATACTCCCTTCTCCTTGACCAAAAATATTCAATTATCCCAAGCACACCTATATATAACCCAATGTTGCATGTTGCAGGCTTGGCGGAAAAAAGAATAAATAAGAGGAATCACAAAGTGCCCAAATTTAAATTTTGCTGCTGGTAAAGCCTCTGCAGTAAATGCAGGCAGGGAGCAGCTCAGAGAATGGAAGGAAGGTACCATGGCCAGCAAGAGAGGCTTACGGGAAGCTTTTGGATCAGTCGGGATAGGAACAAAGAACCGTCCAGCTTGCCAAGCTACGTCTTCTTGTGGGGAGGTCGGGGGGGCAGACATCAGACCTGTACGGTCTTCTCAGTCTGAACAGAGCTTCAGGGAATAACTAGACGCCTGGACTCCACCAGGAGTTAGGAACAGAATACAGAATACTGTCTCACGGGCAGAGCCAGAAGCAAAGTGGAAAACGGCAAAAGGCTCAGGCGAAAGGAGAGCCAACATGTCAGCATGAGGAGGATGTCAATTCTTGAGCCACACCCAAAGCGAACTGTTGTGTCCCAAGTGTATCTCCTATGTCTGGTTTTCCCAGATAGATAGAAAGCCAGGAAAAAGGCCACGGAAGCTGCCACCAGGAACAATCTTCACTGATTCGGATTACAATGTTCCAGTACAGAAATGGGTATCGCTCCCAAGTTTGGGTCTTTGAAAGGTTACAGACACGATCTTTGCTGGATCCATAAAACAAATCCTGTCTGACATTTCATCGTGCTAGATTAAACTTTGCAGAGATGTAAAATATTAATCAGAAATCAACAAATATTTTTGATCTTCAAACACTGGGCTGAAGGCGCCGGAGGACAAGAACAGACCAAGAGAAGAGGAGGGAGTGTGTGGGAGGGGGCTGTGGGTGAGGGCCCCCCAAGAGGAGAGGCGATGCAGCTTCATGCCATCACTCCTGCCAGTCGTTTCTTCCCACCGCATGCCATTTTTGCTTGAATGATGTAACTTTTCAGATTATAAGCCACTGGGCAAGGACTGTTTGTAAGCCATTTCCCCCCTACTACGCCCCAATTCTTCTCGTATAACCCCAGTCCTCCATCAGCTCCCCAATGAAGTCCGGGCCCAATTCAAGGTGCTGGTTATCGCCTACAAAGCCCTGAACGGCTTGGGACCTGGTTACCTAAAGGAGCGCCTGCGTCCACATCTGCCCTCCCGCCCCGAGATCGGCAGCAGAGGCCCTTCTCTGGGAACCCTCTGTGAAAGATATCAGGAGGGTAAGTACCCGGAGGAGGGCCTTCTCTGTGGTGGCGCCCCACTCATGGAATGTGCTCCCCAGAGAGGTCCACCTGGCGCCACCATCATTTGTTTTTCGGCGCCAGGCCAAGACCTTTTTATTTAAATGTTATTTTAATTAATTGTTGATTATTTATTGGTTTTATACTATTTGCCAGGATGTTTCCAGTTTTTTATGTATTTGTATTCATATTTATTTGTTGGAAGTGGCCCCGAGGCTTATGCGAAGGGGGCGGCATACAAGAATTCCAAATAAATAAATACTTTCAATGAATGATGAAACAATCATCTTCCACAGTTCCACTTAGAGGTGCCTCTTCCAGGGATAGTCCAGAGTAGACTCTCCAATGTTAGAATTGATTCTAGGGGGCAGGGAGACAGTACTTTTACAAAAAGAATAAGAACCTACTTTGATTGTATTGCTTTTTTCCAACATGTGCATCAATAGTGCTGAAAAGGTTCGAGCATTTCGACGGACCTGAGCTTGTATATTTTATATTTTTAAAAATCAGAAAATCGAATAATCGGTGGAATAGTGAAGCCAGGCCTTGTATCCATGTCCCTTTTTGTTAGGAAAGATACTGGGGCTTATCTTCATCCCTCTCCCGGCCACCCTGGCCCAGACCCTCCGAACTTAGCCGCAATCCTCCCAGCGGTTGGGGAGCTCGAAACAAATGGATTTTCAGCTACAATAAAATTTTCCTCACTCGTCATATAAAGTATTTGGTCTTGAACAGGCAATTGCATCCCTCTGCTTTGTAGAAGATGTGCTCCCAGCAGATGAAAAGTTAGAACAGGTTTGTTGATAAGGATCAACACAGCTGCCCCCGTCTCCGGATTCTCCTTGGGGAACTCGCCAAGGGAACGTGTCATGCTGAGTGGCGAGGGCGGCTCGAAACATACCTCTGTGCTACCGTAAATAAGCCCCGCTGAATCCTTAAACCGGGGCACCCTTTTTCTGGTGGGCTGAGAAGCCTTTGGACTGGCCGGCTGCAGGGCGCACGTGGACAGTCGGTGGGCCGCACCCCGACTGCCCTCCCCGGGCATGGAGGCCCCAGCACGCTTCCGAGACATAGGCGGGCGCACCCCGCACCCGGGAGGGAAGCAAATGGGAAGGGATTGCTTTCTCCCCACTTGGGTAGTTCGATGCCTTTCCGTGCTGTGTACTAAGGAAGGGAAACTCTGTCACTGCATCAGGGGAAGGCTCTTTTCTTCCATCAGCCCCTAAGAGATAAGAGTTTTTCACCTGGTTAATCTTTTCCACTGTGGTCTGACATCTTGGCTTCACCATGCATAGCAGCACACGGTTCCCCAGGGATACCCAAGGGGGACTTCATCGGGCAGGCTTCAGCTTGGAGCCATAGTGCCTTGGATAGCTGCAAGGATACCACTTAGTCCAAAAACTACCTGCCCATCAAGTGAGGCCCTTTTATTCCCAAGCTCTTACCCCTACTCCCAAGTTGTGCCCCTTTAGTGCAGAACGGAGAGCCTTAAAGGTTAAAGAAAGCCTTAAATGCCTGGCTCTTAACGTCCATCAGCAATTCTCGTGGGCAGCCTCCCCCAGTCTGGCGGCCTTCAGAGGCATTTGGACTGCAATTCCCAGAACTGCCATCCAGCAGGACCATTGACTGGGAATTCTGGGTGCTGCAGTCCAAGCGGTGGTGGAAGGCTCGAGGCTGGGGAAGGCTGGCCTTGGGCACTGCTTGAACTAGGGACTGAGACACCCTGGGCATAAAGGGAAGCGGTTCTGCAGGGCTGCTGCCTCCAGAGATCCTAACTCGAATGTGTCTGCCTTAAAGGGCTTCAGGTTCAGTTTCAGGGCCGAGGTTCAGTTCCACCAGTGGCTGTGCAACTCGTGGCTGTTCCTGGTCGAGCTGGTTCTTTCCCCTCTGTGCCAGAGTTCCGGCTGGTACTCACGACCCCTGTTCGTGAAATAAGGAGGGAAAATGGCACAACCCCCTCCAGGTGCAATTCCTCCCTCTTCAGTCACCAGGCACCAGAGCAGGGCCAACGTTTCACACCCTCACTTCGACTTGGCAACACCACAGCAGCTAGATGGAGCCATGAAAGGAAGTTCGAGGAGGAAAGCTTGGCGCACCATCAGCTGCTCTGCCATCTGCTGGATAAAAAGCAACATGGCGCCTGGGAGCAAGCATGCGGGAAGGCAAACACCTCCACCCGTGATGGGGCTGTGAAAAGGGCCCCTTCCAATGTCACAGCCAGGGAACAGGTTATCCGAATGGCAAGGGCGGTACGGTGATTCTTCCCTTCTAGAAAATTAACTGCCCCCATAGAAGGGCGGACACATCTCTCTCTTCCTCTAGTGGAACTCTGTGGGCAAGAAAGCTGGACGCTGGAACATGATGCCAACTTGCACCAAACCAGAAAGTAATTCTCAACTGCTTGCAGAGTTTACAGAGCAAGAAACCACTGCAGCCTTGAAACGGCTGTTCCCGTCCCAGCACATGAATCGAAAGACAATGCAGGCATCGCTGAAAGCGAAGCTTTCTAAGGAGGCAGGGATACAATAAGCTGGAGTGTTTGGGTTTGATTCATAGGCAGGGTGTGTTCACGTCGAAGTAATCCTGCCAAGTTTAAACTCTGGAGAGGGGTGTGCCAAGTATTAGGCTTCCGTTTTCAGCACTGCTGCAACATCTATAACTCTGACCAATACAGGTCACATATCTGGCAAGTGGTCTCTCTTCTCCCTCGCCTTAAATTGCAGCCTGCAGGCAACATTTCAGGCACTGTTAGAGCTGCCATCTCTTGCCGATTGCGATTAAAATCACTTCCCTGCCCCACGTCTCCACACACACCCCCCAGAACGGAACACAGACAGAGGCAGTTCGACTTGGTCAGATCCTACTGAGCTCAGTCAGACCCCGCCCCGGCCTGCCGCACATGGCTGGTGCTGCAAACCCTGGCCGATCACCCAGCAAAGAGGCGTTGCTGCGGCACTTAATCACCTCGGAGCCAGCATGTCAAGAAAACAAAACTATGGCAACATGTAATGATGCTCAAAGGCGTTAAGCACATTCCAGGAAAACGGTATGGGTAGCACTTTTCAAAACAGGCTTAATGAAACGTTTCAGCAGACGTGATATAAATGCAAAATAAAAACAAACTCTTCCTTCCCCTGCAAATAATAAGGTGCGTTATTCTCAAATGTTACCAACTCTTTGCAGGAAAAAGGAGGCATACTATTGGCTTTGTGGCCAGATTTTATGGCCTAGTTCAAAAGATGCACAGTAAGAGAAAAAACTGCTTATAAGGTATCTTAAAAGATGATCAGAAACCTGTACAAATGGAAGCCAGTAACTTCAGTAAAAGAGTTCTCAGTTTATGTTACAGACTGCAGTAAATACAATGGCCTGGATAATCTAAACCATATTATGGAATTTTAAAACTGCCAGTATTAAACCCATTTAAAAACTGTCTCTGTTAATATTGAATCTGCATTTATCAATGACAGGGTGTTGTACTGTGAGATACAGTACAGTCATATTTTAAGACGGACAGATAATATTTCTCCTCTGTGCATTTAAAAAGATAAAGGCCTAGCTACATTTTGGGTTTATTACTGCTCTTGTAGTCCATGTACTATTTCTTTACCGGTCAGACACAAATGCTTCTCTGCAAACATTTAGCATGGACATCTAAAGGAATAAGGGAGTTACTGAGAGAGAACAAGCTGACATTCACTCCCCACCCCCCACCCCAGTTTCTGCTTACCGATATATATTGTTAAAGCTGAGGAACAGACGCTGGAGGCAGGGCAAAGTGTCCACATCTTTCTAGAATGAGAGAGAAAACAACAGTTCAGCGTCCGAGCGAGCGCACGCACGCTTTGACCGCTCTACTTCTCCGGAGGATGAGACTGCCTAGTGCTATTCGCTGTCGCCTTGCCGCAGCTCGCATCGCCGCTGAACACACAGCTCCATCCTCTGTGGTGCAGGTTACGAAGGAGACAGACCTCCTCAGAAGATAAGCTGCACCGCTCGCAACAGAAGGAGTGCTAGGGAGGGGGGAGGCGGCGGCTGGCACTGGCCTCTTTTTGAGCAGGCTTGCCGGGAAGCAGCCAAGGTGCTGCCTCAGCGTTCCAGCTCCGGGAGGGAGGGTGCCGCAATCGAACGGCGTGTGCGGTGAGACGCCGTTCTGCAGCCACACTGCTCTCCGAGGCATCAGAGTGCCAACTCATCCACGTCACCATCCGCCCGGCAGCAGCGAGAGGCTTTCAGTAGCCGTTCTGCTCCCTCTGCACATCTTCCTGGTTTCCCCTGGAGATTAACTGCCTGGAGCCCCGTTAGAGAAGCCACACAGAGGGGGATGCACACCCAGCCCTCCCGGGCGAATCGGTCTGCGGCATACGGTGACCAGCTCTGATCACATTCGGGGAACACGGGGAGTGCCTGTAATTCAGCACAGCTGATTGGTTCTTGCATGAGTCACCCTGCCACCCGCTCGTCAGCACAGCCATGCGTGAGGAGATCTTCCGGTGAAAAGTCTGCCATTTGCAGCCAGTGACGATGGATATCCTAAGACACAGGACCTCAGGGTCTGATGACAAGCGCACTGCCCAACCCACAGGACCTCTGACCTGCGCAATTAGAAGCGAACTAGTCTGTCGTTTTGCAATTTAAGAAGAACTCTTCCCTCCCAACTCTGGAACACAAGACCTAGTCTGCCATATAGATTTTGGGTTCCTAAACATCAGGCAAAACTACACAGTCTCAGACATCCCACTAAACTTCTGCCCACGTGACACCGTCACAAAGCACCACAGAGCATGCATCTAACGTAACACGGATGATGTGCATCTTTCACATTTTTAACTCTCATTCCGTGCTCACCATCAAAGCAGTTGATGCAGCCTTCCTATCTTTCTATTGCAGACTTGTGGGTAATGCGGAGGTTTTAATTAAACCTATTGTCTGTGGGTATAGGAGTAAGGAGGCGGGGAGCACGGTTTGTCTGGCCTGATTCACACAAATAGATGGAGGTTATCGTGCATGCACGGCACCAAGCGAGATTCCTTCTGGGTCACCTGCCTTCCTGCTCAGTGTTGTCATTTCCTGTCTCATCCATTTAATTCCAGGTGGCCGGGAAGCCACAGGGTTTGCAGAAAATAGGCAGAATACTCCAAAGGCGAGAGAGAACGTGGAAGAAATGGCATTTAAAGATAATGACACTATTCTGTTTGTGATGCTCCACACAGAACCCCTTTCCAAGCTTTCACATAAAATGGCTGAAAAGGTTTGTGCGGAAATGGATATGCTGAACAAATAATCGAAAGTGCAAAAGGGATATTGCAACTGGAAATGGTTAGGCCTTGAAACAAACCGGCGTAACTTCCTTCCCCATTACTCTTGGTGTGCCGTGTCCTTTTAAATTGTATACTTGGGGCCTGGGAGTTTTACCAATTCTGTGCAAGCAGCTCTGGGAACTTTTCTGTCTGAGAAGCAACATAAAAATGCAAACAAATATGCAAACAAACAAGCACCTACAGATCACATGTGCTCATCCATGCAGTTATTGGCCAGCCAGATTCTTCTCATAAATGAGTGCAATTAGTCAAGGCTATGGAACTTAGTATCACATATTAAATTCTCTTTTAAAACTCTAAATCGTAATCCACGCATGCAAAAGAATTAGGTGATTCTGAAGATTCTGAAGGGACAGAACGAACTATACCAAATCAATGCTTGGCATTACTCCTCTTTTTTAAATGTTATTTATTTATTTAAAACATTTATATGCCACCCCCATCGCAACAAAGCCTCGGGGCGGCTCACAATGTTAAGAACAGAACTGTCAGAAATGCCTCAATTTAAAAAAAAAAAAACCCATGCAGCCAGGAATTAAATCAAGTGTGAGGAAACACTTTGAAAAGTCAACATGGATCCAAAGAAGGAAAAACCCATCCAAACCTAGCATTCAAGAGAATGTCCTTTTGGCTCCTTATAGAAATGGGACAGAATCCCTGCATATATGTTACTCATTAAGCGTGGAACTTGGCTTTGCCATTTCGATCCCAATCCATTGGTTCTTGTGGCAACTTACAAACAGTTAAAATATCTCAACTGCAGTGCAAAACACAAACAAGCAAACACAAGAAGGGGTAAAAAAAAAAAACCGCTTGTTTTACAATCCTAAGAATCAAGCAGACAGGCAGTCATCAATAGTCTATGCTCTACCAGGCCCTTATCAGGCACCATCTGACAAAGCCGGCAAAGTCATGGTAAATTCTGCTATATAGGCCAGTTGGTCTCCCATCCACAACCAGGCCACCAAAAATACTTTACATTACACAAGAGGGACCAATGTATTCCTGATGGGGAAATTAGTTTTCTCTGTTATGGTGAGGTTTGCAGCTAAGACAGAGAAGTCAGGGAATTCTGAGGGGGACGGCCAAGGACCACCCACTTCCATCGCTCCGTCCCTCAAATCCCTGGCTCCTCCAGCTGTTGGCCAGGGCATACGCCTTCACGATCAAGAAAGGCCAAATGAATTTTGGGGAAGCAAAGGAAAGACTACGGTGCCATGGTTATTCAGGTAGTGAAAACACACCACATCTGACCGCTCACGGCCTTGTCTACAACCGCCACAAAACAACATGGCACAACTCTCAGCGGCAAAGCAGGTGTACCGTTTCAGAAGGCAGGGGTGTTTACCCACATTAAAAATTCTCCAAAAGTGAAAAAAACAAGAACCGAAGCCCAGACAAAGTTCCCATTCAATCTTCTTCCTGCTATGTTAGCATCCAAACACATGAGCTGCATCTCTGCTTTGAAGTGGTATGGTGCATTCTGCCACTCAAGACTTTATCCTTTAATTTATCCTTTAATTATGTTTCATGTTAGGACCTGGACTTTGAAGATGAAAGAACTGGGCTTTGTGCAAATTATGCAAACCTTGAACACAGAGCAGCCTCGATGAATAACTAAAGTTCACAGCAACAGAAGGAAATTTGCATGGAATGTACACTTTATCTGGAGCATATGGACAAAGCTAGGAATACTTTCTCCTTCAGGCATCAAGAATATATAACCTCCTGCGTTTCAGAACGAAAGATCATCAGTCACTATATGGGAGGGCTTCCTCCGACAAACAAAATAACCTGATGATAGGAAATAGTAAGTTAGAAGATAGTTTCTAAATGGCAATCCACCATCCTTTTAACAATTGTTCTGGTGCAAACTTGCTTTAAACATTACTAGCCTGCGGTGATGCCAAACGAATTGCACTGCTAGATTTTTATAGCTTATAGGTCAAAGACCCAGAACCTCAGCCCTGGGGACCCAGAGGCCATGTCTCCTTCATTGCTTCCACTCCCTTTCCCTCGGCCACCAATCAAGCAGTCGGTATGCCCCCCTTCCCCACTCTAAAAGGCTGAAAAGCAGTGAGAGCCGTGCGATGGAGCAGCCTGGCATTTGGGGAGGTGTGGCTCATTCCACCACTGGAATTCAGCCACCGGGCACTTCTCTGAAGTGAAATTTCGCTCTGCACCCACTAAACACTGAGAGTCAGGTCTCAGTCACAGCATCCTAAACACTCCATCACACACAGATGTATCTGGGGGACTCTTTCAGCCTCCATCACCTCTACAGCACCATCTCATGAACAGCAGCCTGACAGCTCCTCCGCCATGGGTACCTCTCCTCTACGGCCCACTCTGACTCCCCCGTATTCGTCGCGAAGCACCTTCTCTTCCAATTCTCTGTTCGTGGCCTCAGGTCTCAGCCTCTCCCTCCTTTCCTGCCCGGAGCCTTCTGCTTGCCCTGCTCCACTGCTATTCACCATGAGGGCAATTCAGCCAGCCACTACAAATGGCTTCACTATCATGACCAGAAGAAGAAAAACACCCAAAGCATCACCACATAAGCACTGCACAAAAGATCTCTTACACCTTTTTGTTTAAAGTGAAAATGATGTTTGCCGTGCCAGAAGCTGAACGGTTTTGCTTTGCCCTTTGAAAGTTCCAGTGGCAAAACAGCTCCCTCCAAGCACGGCTGTTCTAAAAGAGCAAACGTATTCAATTCAATCACTTACCACAAATCTGATCTGATTATATCGAAGATTAAGTTCTGTCAATGAATCCAGTCCATTGAGGTTTTCGATATATGTTAAACAATTCCGGGCGAGATTCAGCACTCTGAGGTCACTTAAATGGTTTAGATTTTCTAGGACAGCAATCTGTAACAAAGGATATGTATTTCGGCAATTAAGCGCCCCTGCCTCTCCCTCAAAGAATATTGGAAAGCAAGCAGCTTATCTTCTAAGAATGAATTATACATCTGAATGTTAGAGAAGTGCAAGAGCTAAATGCTTTCAGCTACACCCCCGTGAACACCTCTGGGAATCGGTCCCTCGCAAGACAACGGAACTTATTAGTATACACAGATATAATAAACTAATTCCAGAGGTGAAAAAGTACCATGTGTAATATAGCCACTGTAGGACAAAAAACTGTACTCGCTTCTCATGGATGTCCACTGGCCACTGAAATAAGCGATTTGCCAAACACGGGGCAGACACGAACAGCGGCTGAACTCTGGGTTGGAAGGGGAGAATGCTCAAAAGGTGGATTCTTCCGAAGGGCACTGCCATTCCTGCCTTCGAAAGAGCAACAGCACCAACCTGAACACCAGGAATCTGGGTTTCATGAAGAATTCATGGAGAGGTTATTTATAAACTCCCTCTGACAGTGCTAGTGGAATTCCTCTATTTCTTCCCATAACAGATTCTTTTGCAAAGCGAAACACACACACACACACCCCAAACATTACAGGGACTCGAGACTGCAAGGTGTTTGAGCACACCTGACTGCACAGAACCTGCTGCAGCAACCCTCACAGACACAAGCCTGAGCAGCCTCTGCAGGCATCGGACAACGATGCAGATCATGCCCACCCCCCTGCGTAAGTACAGCCAGGCGAGGGGGGGAAGGCAGGTGTTAACAGCCCAATGTGGTTGGAGGGCAGCAGGTAGGAAAAGTGGATCTGCACTAACAGCGAACTCAGGCGCTGAGTTCTGACCACGGTGGATCCAAAACAGGCTGATGAGCAAAGGGGCAGAAGGATCAGCACGCTTGGGGGAACAGAAAGGTTTGAAAGAGAAAAATCTTTAGTGGAAGGAAACACAGGGCAGGCAGAAACAGCTAAGGAAACAGTCCGGTGAAGACAGAGCTGCCCAGTGGCCATAGAATGTGATGTTGGAGAGGGGGGAAGCGAAAAACCGGGGTGTGTGGCTAGAACTCCACAGCACAGTGTTTTGTGGCTGGTTCCACTCATATGACTGTTCTTCTCCTGTCCTTTTGCGACCCCTCAGTGTCACAGCATGTGCTGTGCTTGCAGAAAAGCTCAGGGCTGGTCCCCACCACCTCCAGGTGGGGCTCAGAAGCCTTCCAGCCTGAAACCCCAAGAGAGCTGAGGTGGGTTACTGTAGCAGGTGGATAACCCCGCTCCCCCACCGTTACCTGCAGCCATTGGGCTCCTTCCCTACCAAAACAGTTCCCCTTAAACTCCTTAGGGACTGATGCCTGAATTGGCTTGTTTACCTTTTTCTTCCCCCAGCCTTTTTCTTTTTTACACTATAACCAGTGGGCTATTTTATCCTTGAGGAGTGCTTTGAGTTATTAATTGATTAGATGCCTATCCTGCCCCTTTCACCAAAATAAGGTTCTTCTCCCTGAATCTGTTGCCCTTCTTTTTATGCTTTTCAATTTTGGCAGCTTTAAACGGCATTGTACATTTAGTGCATGCATAAAAGGTAACATTAATGAATTAAGAGCAATGTACCTGATTCCCATGGAGATCTAAGACGTCAAGGCTTACAAGGTTATCCAGGTCTGATATTCTCTTTATCCTGAAACATTTAAGCATCGACAAAGGATTTTCATTAGAAATGGAGTGGGGGACACGTATTTGCTGCCAGCTCAGATCAAGCGTCACAGAGAATCTGATTCAGCAAGGTGAAAATTGCCGTGCACTCATGAACTTCTAGGCATGTATAGCTTAAGAGATCTAGAGAGACAACACTGATCCACCCCTGCCACAAAGCAGTGGCGCCGTCAAAAGGATGGCAGACAAGCGAAACAGGGCAAGCACTCGTCCATTAGTCTGAAGCTAGGCTGCCTTAGAAGCAGAGTGTCTGGCTTGTGGGCAAAGCAGGGAGGAAGACGTACAGTGAATTACCCAAGCAGACAAGACAAAAACCACTGGGGAAGAATGCACGGTAAATCGAACCGTAACATTTTCCTGAGTAATACTGGAAATCCTATCACTTCCAATCTAAGAAAAGTTAAAGCATATGAATTCCCACATCCTTAATTTTATTACCTGCCATTCACTCCATTTATTAATTAAAAGCTAGATTTGACTCAGCAGAGAGATGTCTAGGGAAGCTGCACTTTCCAAATGATGTTTGGAAAACTAATGTGGGATATGTAGGACCAAATATTAGAAAGTGCACCCCAACCAAGTGTCGCGGAGACTCCTAATTATAGCTTGTCCTCCCCCTTCTTCCTTTTACCTGTTATTTCCCAGTAAAAGGACACGAAGCGACCGCAGAGTAGACAGTCCACTGATCTCCTCTATCTGATTATCATACAAATCTAAGAAAATGAGATGCTGCAAATTAGAGATATTCTGGATGCGAGTTATGCAGTTGTGCTGGAAGTTCAGCAAACGGAGGTGCTCTTCTCCATCAATGATTGGGCAAACCGTCAGTTTTTGTCTAGGAGGAGAAGATTTAGAAAAGGGGTTTTAGTAGGACCTTGAAAAAGCAAGACAGCGCGAACAACTCAGCTTGTCTGCAAAAGTACAAAACCTTTAAGAAGAAAGCAATCCTACAGGGACGCACACCTACAAATCCTCAGCTCAGTCAGTACTCAGTCAGTTTTCAAGGAATATGTTAGGTATAGGACGGTGAGGGTTAGCTGTGAAAGAAAAATATAATCTGGGGAGAGGTTAAGAGGGTTCAGGTATACACCATTTGGAGTGAATGGCTGGCTGGAACCCTCAGCTGACATGTCTCCATTCAGAGGGAAAATACATTTCCTTCAATGTTTTGGTGCCGGGCTCACTCGTTATTCCTGAACGGGAATGGATTCTCCCAGCAGGAACAAAGTTGACACCAAGAAGTGTCACCTGGCCAGCTGTAAACATCTGCAGATGCAGCAGATTTCGTGGGATGTGAGGTAGAGTTTCGGTGGTATTCTGACTACAACAATGTCCCCAGAACAGTAACTGCTACATTCAGTTAATTTGTTATTTCTTTGTATCAGGTCCCTTTCCATCTAAAATCTTTTTATTCTCCCCTGAGGGTGGCTAAAGTAACTTAATGAAAGCAGGAATCTGATACAAATATTCCTCCAATTCCTTTCCTTCATGTCTGTTATATCCCAGAGAAAACCTGGTAAATTAGCGATGGGAAGATTCTATTAATGAAGATGTAACTTCTAGCCACTGCCTAAGGCCTTTCCAGTCACACCTAAGGCTGAGATCTTGTACACACTTGTCTGGGAGTAAGACCACCCAACTCATTGGTATTACTTCTGCGTACGCATGTACAAGATGGCACACAGATCAAGCTACACGAATAAGGGTGAAATCCTGCATCAACTGAATTTAATGGGCCTTCTGAGGTGAATTTATGCTGCATCGGGCTGCAAGTACTATTCAAAACAATGCATGATTCTTCAAAGTTGCCACAGACAGGACTACAAAAAAATAGAACATGTCCAATTCTATCCTCACCTTTCAAGGGTCAACCTGTCAGAGTGCTGCGTTTTTTCTTCGGCTGTTCGATGCACCAGGGGAAAGGCTGTGTTCCCATAAGTGATATTTTCTAACAGGTAGAAAAAGCCAATATCTAATGTCAAAAATATAGACAGCATACTAAAAAGCAGAGACATCACCCTGCCAACAAAAGTGCGTATAGTCAAGACTATGGTTTTCCCAGTTGCAATGTATGGCTGTGACAGCTGGACCATAAGGAAGGCTGAGTGCCAAAGGACTGAGGCCTTCGAATTGTGGTGCTGGAGGAGGCTCCTGCGAGTCCCTTGGACCGCAAGGCGATCAAACCGGTCAGTCCTAGAGGAGATCAACCCTGACTGCTCTTTAGAAGGCCAGATCCTGAAGATGAAGCTCAAATACTTTGGCCACCTGATGGGAAGGAAGGACTCCCTGGAGAAGAGCCTAATGCTGGGAGCAATTGAGGGCAAAAGAAGAAGGGGACGGCAGAGGATGAGGTGGCTGGATGGAGTCACTGAAGCAGTCAGCGTAAGCTTAAGTGGACTCCGGGGGATGGTGGAGGACAGGAAGGCCTGGAGGAATGTTGTCCATGGGGTCACGATGGGTCGGACATGACTTTGCAACTAACAACAACGTCAAAAAGATCAGAAAAATATTTTACAAATTTCAACTGTCAAGCAATAAACAGGCTTACCCGGTTCTACTACTGAGATACAATACAGGAGGAAAGAGCAGGAAGAAGAGAGAACGCAAATCCCAGGTACTGATGGTTTAATACACAATTTATCAGGTGGAACAGCTGCTGCAGGAATTATTTCAGGGGAAGGAGGACCCCCATAGAAGCAATTCCAAGCAGGCTGATGGAGAGGTCTCGCCATCTCATTTCTTCTGCCCAGCCCACTAAAGTTAGATGTAGCATACCTGAAGGCCGACATCCCCCCAAAGGACGAATTCACATCAGTTACCTGGAACATTTCCACTGGCATTATGACAGCCCTGCTGAAGCCTGTATTTTGATGGAGTAGGAAAAGAGCAATCGCCAAATGCTGCCAGGGATCCTGCACTGTATTTCATCTCCAGTCCAGGAATATCTGCAAAATTTGTTGATACGGGGACATACAACTTTTTGTTGCGTGATAAAGGGCTTAATCTGCCATCTGCAGGGGGAAAAAATAAGAATTTTGACCTCACCATGATGCTGTATATCACCACAGATTAAACTAACACTGCAATCCCATGGACGAGCATCTGGTTAACAAGGTTTTACATGTTGTATGAACCAAAGGTTGTTTCAGGGACAAGCAGCCCTCAAACCATCCCTGCCACCTGGGTTCACGCAAAACCACAAATCATGGGAACAATCCCCTGCCCACAAACCAGGAATGCTCAGAATGGCTGCCAGCACACACCACAACCCACTGCGGCTTAACGGTCATCTTGCCAATGAGCCCAAAGTAAGCCACCGCTATAAATACATGTTTCCTTGTAATAGTTTGCATGCCTAATTTTGGAAAGAGTTCATCTTCCAACATTACCTAGTTTTCCTGAATAGTTCTTTTCCAGTTCATGCTGCAAGAACTTGTTGTGAAGATAGGGTTGGTCTTTGTGTAATCTAAGCTCCAGCTGCAATAAAAAAGTAAATTTTCAACACAAACCATTACACTTCGATGCAAGCGTTTTATAAACTCTGCACTGGGGAGGGACATGTACATACTGGGTATTAGCAGCTTTTCGTTTCTCCTTTCTCTGTTGGTATTGCTGCAGGATATTTCTCATACCAGTTGCATCAGTATTGTTTAAAAAATAATCTGAACACAAGACTGGAAGATGGGAAATGGACCAAGGCGGACCGGAGGAGAGAGAAGGACCAGAGATGACATCTGTTCCCAGATGCCACAAAAGGCCTGAATTTTAAGCTGTGAATAATCAAGCGTGCTAGTGCACACTTTCCAACTGCTTTCGTGTAATTCTTCTGCAAGTGTGAGTGGCAAAAAAACCTTTGGTTTGTATAGCATGATGTGTGAACACCGGGGTGTCTCTCCACCATTGTTTGCTCATGGCTCTGGTTCACCTAGCAATAGAGGTCCAATGCTCTAAGGTGGTACCAAAATCTAACAAATACAAAACAGGATTAAACACTTCTACTGGTTATCTGTGTAAGAATAACTTTATTCATTTTAACATGTAAGCACACACAGCAGATACAGAAGAAATTGTTCAGAGGTCATGCAAATACATATAACAATATGTTATATCAACATATAACTTGACAGTAAAGAAAAAAATGAAAATGTAAAAAAATTCACACAAGGTATTGCAGATACATCAAGACATCACAAAATATCCAGCACACCACAGCACTGTACAGACTGATACTTTTGGATTCTCTATATTTGGATAATAAAAATTCAGGTCTCACAGGTTTGGTTCTTTCTGCTGCCGATGTGCTTTGGAGAACCAACTGAAGCCCATAATTGTTTGCCTGCAAATTAGAAATGGCTATTAATAACTTCTAGAAATGGATCATAAAAAAAAGAAGGCAGCAAAAATGAAATATTCTATGAACTATGCATCTAAATCAACTGTGCCATTTAAAGGTTTCCAAGAAATAAACATAGCAATCTGAAGCAATTCTCTAGTATGTCAACTAACATAATTTATTATAATGGAGTGCGATGGTTGACACGTGTGCTGGCTAAATCTCTAAACACCAAAATATGATTTCCACTTACAACCGAATGCTTTTTCTGTGTAAGGCAGAGATTTGCTTGTACTGCTAAAACTGAATCTCATTACTATCTGTATAACGCAATCGGAAAAACCAGTCAGCATTTGCTTTTACTAATTTCCCATTTTTTCCAGCAGAGCATCATCGTGCACCACGATGGAGCCTGAACAATGAAGGTACATCCAACTGGGCCCTCCGGATACACATAAAGCGCACATACAAAACATACACAATGTGTGTAATACAGTTATGACTTTTCCTGAAAAGGGTCAGTTTGAAAATGTGCCAGTTTTCAATCTTTCAGCTGTGTAGGAAAGTCTGTGGTTTACAGAAGAGCATGTTCTAATGCCCTAACTTAGTCAACCTGGGGCTCTCCGGTTGTTCTAGACTACAACTCCCATTCTTGACCAGACCATGCTGGCTGCACTGATGAGAACTGCCGTCCACAACAAGCAGGGAGCACCAAGCTGGAGAAGGACAGATATCTAATTTAACATGTTTATTTTATTTCCATTCAGCTAAAAAAGTGCCCCATGGTAATTTGTTGCCCTAGGTCACCACGACGACATGGAATGAAAAAACTGAGGGGCAAAAATAAAGCCCACTTAGTATTATTTCAATGCTAATCGGAGCAACATTTTGTACCGCAATACTTTTGAAAGTGTAAAAAGGCACATCTTTTTAATTGTTTATGTTTAAGGGAAAATATCAAAAATACCGAAAACTACTAATTAATTGTAGCAACTCAAAGAAGTGTGCATGCTATGTTGACAACCACTTATATGTTTCAATAGACACCAGCTCTCTTCTAATGAGGGTATCAGGCCACCTTCAATTATGCTGTCACTATTTCTTAGTTCCATTTTACTCCAAGACACAAATCTATTTAGTGGCATATGTGTATTCCCTCACATTTGCTAGACATAATTGCCTGAAAGCATAAATTACGATGTAGAACAGACAAGTTTGCTTAACACTGTATTTTCAGTTGGCATACAAGTCAGCTTTAACAACAAACTTAATAAAAGATTTTGTTTCTATTAAAACCCAGGGCACCGGGGGAAAAATTCCACCCGTCATCACTAGCAATACGCACAAAGAAGCATCAACACGTACATATTCAAGCCACCCACAAAAGACACATGCAGAACAGCCGATGTTCAAAGAAGCATAACGCAAGTCAGCTGAGCACATGAAAAACATTACGCCTTCATGTGTTTCATATGAATTGTGCTAACAGCGTGTTTTCTCTGTGGTTGTAAGCAGCCATTAAATATATACAAAATTCACACACAAACACCCAGAAAACACATTCACAATATGCAGTAATAGCTGCAAAAATGCATGCAAAACAGACCAACAAGGCACAAAGGCAATGTGCACAGGACACCCGCAGAGCAAAAACACCTGTGCACATCATTTCCATTCACAGCTGCATGCCAAGCATGTTTTGCAAATGTTTTTACATGTGTCTTGTCGATATTTTGCATGCCTGATTTTCTTGGGCTTTGTTGGTGCTCTGCGGAGACAGTCTACCACAGTGCACGCTTTTCTTGCAAAACGCACGCTGCATATGTACATATGTTATATATACACAGGCAGATACACAAATTCAAAACTGCTGCATAGACATAAAATACACGAAACAGACACAAGCAAACACTGGCATTTTATCTTGGCCACCATTTTATTGTTTCGTGCTCAGGCTTTCCACCTGGAAAAGCAGTATACAAATACATCCAATTCATTAATGGCACGATTCTATGCTTGCTTAGAAAGGAGAAAAGGTCCCAGAACCGGCAGCATTCCCAGGCATGCACGGCTAGGGAATGCATAGGATTGCACATGCACGCGATCCTTTCCGAACAGGCGCAGGGTGGTGGGTCCTTTTTCTGTCTGAATAGCTCACAGCATGGAAGGCTGGCTTTTCCCCCCGCCTGGAACAAGCAACGGGTGATAACAGCCCCCGCCCCACATGCAAAGGCTTTCCCCTCTATCGGAACATGCACGGCAGGCTACCAGCCCCCCCTCGAACATGCAAAGGTTCGCGCCCCCCCCCCACGCAGACGACTGCACCCACTGCGAAGTCAGACCCAGTGGATGTCCTCAAAAGCAACCGGGCGCCCGGGGGCACGCCGCCCAGCGACGCGGGGAGGAGCTCCGCAACAAAGAAAGGCGACCGGGAGCCGCCAGCGGCATCCCGCCCGCAGCACCGGCGCCGCCTTTCGGAGGTGGGGGCCGCGCCGGGCCCCCGCCCAGGCTCCCCGCTTACCGAAACGGCGTGGCCCGGCCGGGCCCCCGCAGCAGGCCGGCATTTGCTGGGCACCATGGCAACGCGCCCTAGCCGCCGCCGGCACCGCCGCTCCCTCCTCCTTACCCGGAAGCCGCCTGCTGTCACCATGACAACACCTGTTTCCTGGATCCGCTCTGCCACTCACAGGAGGGGGCGTGGCCTACAGACGGCGCCCGCGGAGCCATGAGAACACAAGGGAGGCCAAGAGAACACGATAGGTTTCCCGTATTTCAGGCCCCCCCATTAAACGAGAGTGTCAGCCCAGGGAGGGAGTGGAGGAAGGAGAGGGCTGGATAGAAAGCTGGGGTTGTCACCATGGAATCGACGTGGAGAGCGGCATCAACCACGCAGATCAGCACCATGGCCCTGCCACGCATATGTCGGCTGTGTTCTAGTGGAAGCCGGAAGTGAGGGTTCTGCGATAGACTGATTCTCTTTACCTCTCGGGCAGCGTTTTTGTACAGCGCCTTGAGCCTTTGGACTGCTTTGTGTGTTGGTCGCTTTTGTAGGCCGCTTGTACAATGGCTGCTTTCAAACAGGGTTACACGTAGAGAAAAATAAACTACCAATAAAATGGCAGCAGTAATCATAAGAATAAATACAATAGGCGCTGGCCTGGATGCACCCACGTGGTCCTCTCCTTACCTTCTTTTGTTCTATCATTCCTAGCCAAAGCCTGGATACCAGGAGGTCGGGGAAAAGAAATGTGTGCTTCACAGCAGAAGCACAAGCCCACCACTTCCTAAACTCATGAAACTGAAGGTCCAGAATTACTGTTTGCAATGATTTTAGGCACGTTCTATCATACTATCCGTGTTTTTTTGAAAGGAAACCCCTCGTGCATGCATAAAGCGGCAGCTGTGCACTGTGACCTTAATAGCATGTACCTGGCTGATAGCAAAATGCTGTGGTTTAGGGGTGCAGTCCCTCCTTTGTGCATGCAAAGGGCCCCCAGTTCAGTCTTCCAGCCCCCGCCCCAAAGCATACCTCCGTTTAAAAGAAAACAAATGAGGGTGAAGCCCCCTCGCCCCCAGACCCTGGAAAACTGCAGGCCGGGCCCTACCATTAGCCCGGGGAAGCCTTGTCTTGGGCCGCTGCTCCTGAAAGGCAGCCGGAACTGTGCATATCTGAAACCCTATCCTGCACCCCCTAACCTGGGCTGCTGCCCCCCCGTGGCGTGGAGAAAGCACCCCATCTCCAGTACCAAGGAGGGAGCCAACGTCTTGTGCGGGTAGCCGCTGCCCTTGGCGCGGAGGGGTGCAGCGCCTGGGCTCGGGCCGGGTCTCCTCCGTGCCGCCCCGGGGCGCGCAGGGGAGTCCCAGCCCAAGCCCGCCAGGCCGCGCGATGACTGCCTCGGGCCAGCCCTGCTGCGACCACGCCGCGCGCTGGAGCCTTGGACTACCGCGCCATCATCCGCAGATCCCGCGCGGCCCCTGGCTCCCGGGGCGCAGCCGTGCGCGGCGCTGCGCGGCGCGGCGGGAGGGCCGGCGGCGGCTCGCCCCGCTTTAAGCCCGCTCCCCGATTTATAGCCGGCGGGGGCGGCCGCCGCGCCCTCCCCTTCTCGCCCTGGCCCCGCGCGCATGTGGCCCCGGCTGCGCGCCTGGCTCGGGCGGCTGCTGCT